GAGAATGGACGGCTGCAAGAAAGAGGGAGACTTGCAGCCACTCAAGATGCATGGGAGCAGGGAGGAGGGGCTGTAGGTGTAGACTGGGTGAGAATGGACGGCTGCAAGAAAGAGGGAGACTTGCAGCCACTCAAGATGCATGGGAGCAGGGAGGAGGGGCTGTAGGTGTAGACTGGATGAGAATGGACGGCTGCAAGAAAGAGGGAGACTTGCAGCCACTCAAGATGCATGGGAGCAGGGAGGAGGGGGTGTAGGTGTAGACTGGGTGAGAATGGACGGCTGCAAGAAAGAGGGAGACTTGCAGCCACTCAAGATGCATGGGAGCAGGGAGGAGGGGCTGTAGGTGTAGACTGGGTGAGAATGGACGGCTGCAAGAAAGAGGGAGACTTGCAGCCACTCAAGATGCATGGGAGCAGGGAGGAGGGGGTGTAGGTGTAGACTGGGTGAGAATGGACGGCTGCAAGAAAGAGGGAGACTTGCAGCCACTCAAGATGCATGGGAGCAGGGAGGAGGGGCTGTAGGTGTAGACTGGGTGAGAATGGACGGCTGCAAGAAAGAGGGAGACTTGCAGCCACTCAAGATGCATGGGAGCAGGGAGGAGGGGGTGTAGGTGTAGACTGGGTGAGAATGGACGGCTGCAAGAAAGAGGGAGACTTGCAGCCACTCAAGATGCATGGGAGCAGGGAGGAGGAGGTGTAGGTGTAGACTGGGTGAGAATGGACGGCTGCAAGAAAGAGGGAGACTTGCAGCCACTCAAGATGCATGGGAGCAGGGAGGAGGGGGTGTAGGTGTAGACTGGGTGAGAATGGACGGCTGCAAGAAAGAGGGAGACTTGCAGCCACTCAAGATGCATGGGAGCAGGGAGGAGGGGGTGTAGGTGTAGACTGGGTGAGAATGGACGGCTGCAAGAAAGAGGGAGACTTGCAGCCACTCAAGATGCATGGGAGCAGGGAGGAGGGGGTGTAGGTGTAGACTGGGTGAGAATGGACGGCTGCAAGAAAGAGGGAGACTTGCAGCCACTCAAGATGCATGGGAGCAGGGAGGAGGGGGTGTAGGTGTAGACTGGGTGAGAATGGACGGCTGCAAGAAAGAGGGAGACTTGGAGCCACTCAAGATGCATGGGAGCAGGGAGGAGGGGCTGTAGGTGTAGACTGGGTGAGAATGGACGGCTGCAAGAAAGAGGGAGACTTGCAGCCACTCAAGATGCATGGGAGCAGGGAGGAGGGGGTGTAGGTGTAGACTGGGTGAGAATGGACGGCTGCAAGAAAGAGGGAGACTTGCCGCCACTCAAGATGCATGGGAGCAGGGAGGAGGGGGTGTAGGTGTAGACTGGGTGAGAATGGACGGCTGCAAGAAAGAGGGAGACTTGCCGCCACTCTTATAAAGATGCATGGGAGCAGGGAGGAGGGGGTGTTGGTGTAGACTGGGTGAGAATGGACGGCTGCAAGAAAGAGGGAGACTTGCAGCCACTCAAGATGCATGGGAGCAGGGAGGAGGGGGTGTAGGTGTAGACTGGGTGAGAATGGACGGCTGCAAGAAAGAGGGAGACTTGCAGCCACTCAAGATGCATGGGAGCAGGGAGGAGGGGGTGTAGGTGTAGACTGGGTGAGAATGGACGGCTGCAAGAAAGAGGGAGACTTGCAGCCACTCAAGATGCATGGGAGCAGGGAGGAGGGGCTGTAGGTGTAGACTGGGTGAGAATGGACGGCTGCAAGAAAGAGGGAGACTTGCAGCCACTCAAGATGCATGGGAGCAGGGAGGAGGGGGTGTAGGTGTAGACTGGGTGAGAATGGACGGCTGCAAGAAAGAGGGAGACTTGCAGCCACTCAAGATGCATGGGAGCAGGGAGGAGGGGCTGTAGGTGTAGACTGGGTGAGAATGGACGGCTGCAAGAAAGAGGGAGACTTGCAGCCACTCAAGATGCATGGGAGCAGGGAGGAGGGGCTGTAGGTGTAGACTGGGTGAGAATGGACGGCTGCAAGAAAGAGGGAGACTTGCAGCCACTCAAGATGCATGGGAGCAGGGAGGAGGGGCTGTAGGTGTAGACTGGGTGAGAATGGACGGCTGCAAGAAAGAGGGAGACTTGCAGCCACTCAAGATGCATGGGAGCAGGGAGGAGGGGGTGTAGGTGTAGACTGGGTGAGAATGGACGGCTGCAAGAAAGAGGGAGACTTGCAGCCACTCAAGATGCATGGGAGCAGGGAGGAGGAGGTGTAGGTGTAGACTGGGTGAGAATGGACGGCTGCAAGAAAGAGGGAGACTTGCAGCCACTCAAGATGCATGGGAGCAGGGAGGAGGGGGTGTAGGTGTAGACTGGGTGAGAATGGACGGCTGCAAGAAAGAGGGAGACTTGCAGCCACTCAAGATGCATGGGAGCAGGGAGGAGGGGGTGTAGGTGTAGACTGGGTGAGAATGGACGGCTGCAAGAAAGAGGGAGACTTGCAGCCACTCAAGATGCATGGGAGCAGGGAGGAGGGGGTGTAGGTGTAGACTGGGTGAGAATGGACGGCTGCAAGAAAGAGGGAGACTTGCAGCCACTCAAGATGCATGGGAGCAGGGAGGAGGGGGTGTAGGTGTAGACTGGGTGAGAATGGACGGCTGCAAGAAAGAGGGAGACTTGGAGCCACTCAAGATGCATGGGAGCAGGGAGGAGGGGCTGTAGGTGTAGACTGGGTGAGAATGGACGGCTGCAAGAAAGAGGGAGACTTGCAGCCACTCAAGATGCATGGGAGCAGGGAGGAGGGGGTGTAGGTGTAGACTGGGTGAGAATGGACGGCTGCAAGAAAGAGGGAGACTTGCCGCCACTCAAGATGCATGGGAGCAGGGAGGAGGGGGTGTAGGTGTAGACTGGGTGAGAATGGACGGCTGCAAGAAAGAGGGAGACTTGCCGCCACTCTTATAAAGATGCATGGGAGCAGGGAGGAGGGGGTGTTGGTGTAGACTGGGTGAGAATGGACGGCTGCAAGAAAGAGGGAGACTTGCAGCCACTCAAGATGCATGGGAGCAGGGAGGAGGGGGTGTAGGTGTAGACTGGGTGAGAATGGACGGCTGCAAGAAAGAGGGAGACTTGCAGCCACTCAAGATGCATGGGAGCAGGGAGGAGGGGGTGTAGGTGTAGACTGGGTGAGAATGGACGGCTGCAAGAAAGAGGGAGACTTGCAGCCACTCAAGATGCATGGGAGCAGGGAGGAGGGGCTGTAGGTGTAGACTGGGTGAGAATGGACGGCTGCAAGAAAGAGGGAGACTTGCCGCCACTCAAGATGCATGGGAGCAGGGAGGAGGGGGTGTAGGTGTAGACTGGGTGAGAATGGACGGCTGCAAGAAAGAGGGAGACTTGCAGCCACTCAAGATGCATGGGAGCAGGGAGGAGGGGGTGTAGGTGTAGACTGGGTGAGAATGGACGGCTGCAAGAAAGAGGGAGACTTGCAGCCACTCAAGATGCATGGGAGCAGGGAGGAGGGGGTGTAGGTGTAGACTGGGTGAGAATGGACGGCTGCAAGAAAGAGGGAGACTTGCAGCCACTCAAGATGCATGGGAGCAGGGAGGAGGAGGTGTAGGTGTAGACTGGGTGAGAATGGACGGCTGCAAGAAAGAGGGAGACTTGCAGCCACTCAAGATGCATGGGAGCAGGGAGGAGGGGGGTGTAGGTGTAGACCGGGTGAGAATGGACGGCTGCAAGAAAGAGGGAGACTTGCAGCCACTCAAGATGCATGGGAGCAGGGAGGAGGGGGTGTAGGTGTAGACTGGGTGAGAATGGACGGCTGCAAGAAAGAGGGAGACTTGCAGCCACTCAAGATGCATGGGAGCAGGGAGGAGGGGGTGTAGGTGTAGACTGGGTGAGAATGGACGGCTGCAAGAAAGAGGGAGACTTGCAGCCACTCAAGATGCATGGGAGCAGGGAGGAGGGGCTGTAGGTGTAGACTGGGTGAGAATGGACGGCTGCAAGAAAGAGGGAGACTTGCAGCCACTCAAGATGCATGGGAGCAGGGAGGAGGGGGTGTAGGTGTAGACCGGGTGAGAATGGACGGCTGCAAGAAAGAGGGAGACTTGCAGCCACTCAAGATGCATGGGAGCAGGGAGGAGGGGGTGTAGGTGTAGACTGGGTGAGAATGGACGGCTGCAAGAAAGAGGGAGACTTGCAGCCATTCAAGATGCATGGGAGCAGGGAGGAGGGGGTGTAGGTGTAGACTGGGTGAGAATGGACGGCTGCAAGAAAGAGGGAGACTTGCAGCCACTCAAGATGCATGGGAGCAGGGAGGAGGGGGTGTAGGTGTAGACTGTGTGAGAATGGACGGCTGCAAGAAAGAGGGAGACTTGCAGCCACTCAAGATGCATGGGAGCAGGGAGGAGGGGGTGTAGGTGTAGACTGGGTGAGAATGGACGGCTGCAAGAAAGAGGGAGACTTGCAGCCACTCAAGATGCATGGGAGCAGGGAGGAGGGGCTGTAGGTGTAGACTGGGTGAAAATGGACGGCTGCAAGAAAGAGGGAGACTTGCAGCCACTCAAGATGCATGGGAGCAGGGAGGAGGGGGTGTAAGTGTAGACTGGGTGAGAATGGACGGCTGCAAGAAAGAGGGAGACTTGCAGCCACTCAAGATGCATGGGAGCAGGGAGGAGGGGGTGTAGGTGTAGACTGGGTGAGAATGGACGGCTGCAAGAAAGAGGGAGACTTGCCGCCACTCTTATAAAGATGCATGGGAGCAGGGAGGAGGGGGTGTTGGTGTAGACTGGGTGAAAATGGAGAGCAGCGAGAGGAAGACTTGGAGCCACTCTTGTTGGAATGCGATTGGAAGCAGGAGGTGGGGGGGTGTAGTTTGCGTGAAAATGGAAGGCAGCAAGAGGGGAGGGAAGGGTAAGGGAAGGGCTGCAAGGAGGAGATTTGGACTTAGAGCAGGATCGGGAGCGTGAACTAGAAACATAGCGGGAGCGCGAGCGTGAGCAAGAGCATGAACAGGAGAGGGATCGCTCGCGGCGACGAGGTGACATGTAACTTGACGTACCGATCGCGAGCGCGATTTGGACTTGGAGCGGGAGCGAGAACGTGAACCCGAGGCAGAGCGGGAACGCGAGCGTGAGCGGGACCGGGATCGCTCGCGGCGACGAGGTGACCTGCTGCGGTCGCGACCCGTCTTGCTCTCCTCACGCACCTGATGCGACCCATGAGAAAGGGGTGGGAAATGAAATATAGAAGATAAGGTGAAGGGGTGACCGGCCCGTCTTGCTCTCCTCACGCACCTGTTGAGATTAGGCATGCGAGAGAGTGGCGCAAAAGGTGCGGACCAAAAATTACAACCAGAAACAATGTGCTGGTCTGTTGAATGCTGAAGCACGGGAAGGGCAGGAGGAAGGAGGGTGCAGTGCGGTGCATGTGGGTTAACGAGCATTGTGTGACGTAGGGGGCTTGTGTAACGATAGTGATCGTGTGTATGGAGTGCTTATTCGAATCGAAAAGCAAAACAGGTTGGTGGCTAAAATGAATGGATGCACGTTCCGGAGTGGCGCAGGTTGAATGAATGGTGCCTTGATTGAATACGTGTGGGCGAGAAGGTTCCTGAGGTTTTCTTTGACTCGGCCACCTCAGAGGATTATGAATGGAGCTGGAAAGGACTCAAAAGTCATACCAAAGGCAACCAGACCCTATCCAGCTCGGCCACCTCAGAGGGTTGTTATGAAATGAGCTGGAAAGGACTGGGAGCGGATTTGGGACTCACTCGAATGTAGACGCCGCGGGAGAAGGGGTTCTTGAACTCAGAGTCGTCTAGCTTGCGGATCTGGTGTGATGGAGAGAGGTACACGGGGGTGGGGGAGGGGGGCGGTAAAGGGGTGTAAGGCCTTTGAGCCACGGGAGAAGGGGTTCTTGAACTCGGAGTCGTCTAGCTTGCGGATCTGGTGTGATGGAGAGAGGTACACGGGGGTGGGGGAGGGGGGCGGTAAAGGGGTGTAAGGCCTTTGAGCCACGGGAGAAGGGGTTTTTGAACTCGGAGTCGTCTAGCTTGCGGATCTGGTGTGATGGAGAGAGGTACACGGGGGTGGGGGAGGGGGGCGGTAAAGGGGTGTAAGGCCTTTGAGCCACGGGAGAAGGGGTTCTTGAACTCGGAGTCGTCTAGCTTGCGGATCTGGAGGTGTGGTGAAGAGGGGCGGTAAAAGGGGTAGGTAAGGGGTCAAGGCTTTGTGAGCTGACTCAAAATTAACCTCGCTATCGAACTCAGAGTCGTCTAGCTTGCGGATCTGGTGGAGGGAGGTACAGGGGGGAGGTGCAGGGGGGAGGTGCAGGGGGGAGGTACAGGGGGGAGGTGCAGGGGGGAGGTGCAGGGGGGAGGTGCAGGGGGGAGGTGCAGGGGGGAGGTAAGGGGGGAGTATAAGGGGGAAATAAGGGGAGAAGTATTGGGGGGAGGTATGAGGGGGGGGGGGGGGGGGGAGAGGGGGTAAGGCTTTTGAGCTGGCTGAGAATTAACCTCGTTTTTCAACTCAGAGTCGTCTAGTCTTGCCCCAATACCCAGCTGCCTTGACTCACTGCGCCCACCCAACTGCCTTACTCACCAGCTGTCCGACTCACCCAGCTGCCCCGCCCACCCAGCTGCCCCACCCACCAATGCACTGCACCCACCCAGCTGCCTGACTCACCGCATACTTCATGTCCTCCTCGTTGCTGTAGTCCACTATGCCCATCATGCCTGTGCAGGGGGGGAAGAGGAGGGGGAGGGAGGGAAGGCAGGGCGGACGCATGGGCTGTGAGGCGGATAGAGGCATCATACTTCACTGCATTGCATGCACTACTCGTTGCTGTGATCCACTCTGCCCATCATGCCTGCGTGGGGAAAGGGGAAGGGAGGTGGATGAGGGAGGGACGGCGGGAGGGAGTGGCGTCTGGGTTGTGTGAAGGATAGAGACATCATACTCCACTTCATGTCCTCCTCGTTGCTGTACTCGACTATGCCCATCATGCCTGTGATGGGGAGAGGGGGAGAGAGAGGCATGGGGGTTGTGAGCAGGATAGCTACAGGATAGGGAGGGAGGGAGGGAGAGAGGGAGGGAGGGAGGGAGGGAGGGAGGGAGGGAGGGAGGGAGGGAGGGAGGGAGGGAGGGAGGGAGGGAGGCAGGGAGGCAGGAAGGCAGGCGGGGTGGGGGAGGGTAGGCGAGGGAGGGAGGCAGGCAGAACGGCAGGCAAGCAGGGAGAGGGAGGGAGGGCGAGGGAGGGAAGGTGGTGTGCAGGTTGCTAAGAGAGCGAGAGGCGAAGGATAGGGCCGGGGGGAGTTTGAACGCCTCGAAGCTCAAGAATGAAAGACGAGTGATAGGGAAGTGGAGGAATGGAATGGCTGGAAAATCATGTACCGAGTGCAAAGCTAAGTTGGAAAAGTCGCCAGCCTGGGCATGCGTACAGCGTATATACGTAGACGAATATACGCTATACGCAATACGCACGTACATTCGTTCGGAAAACTCCGGGCTGCCCGGCCAAAAAAGAAGAAAAAGTTCGCGCACGAAATTAGAAAATGCGTCGCGACACACATTGTGCGCACGATTTTGCAAATGCGACGTCAAATTGTTCTCACATCAGAACAATTCGTCGACCCCACCAACACACAAATTTGACAAGGGGACATTCAAATCAACCGCATTGCACCGTCCTTTACCCCGCGACTCCAACTCAGCTACACGAATGTCTCCAACCAGCCTACCTCAACCCTCATCGAGGACAAGAAGGTAAGTCCCTCCCAACCCTAAACATTCACATCAGTCACATCGTCCAACTCTCTTTCTCCAGTTCTCTCGATCACCCGCAACTCTACGATGACGCCCCCTACTGGCACTGGTACTCCCGTGAGTGCGACTAATGAGGTTCCTAGTGCCGCCTGACCGGAAAAAAGTTTTACCTGCCCGGGCAGCGTATTTTACACGTATTCTTGAGTCACCCATTCAGCGCATCCCATATTATATGCAAGCGTATATACGCTTGCGTAATACGCTGGGCGCGACTTTTCCAACATAGGTGCAATGGGAGGAGTAGGGAAGGAGCATGGGAGGAGTGGGGAAGGAGCATGGGAGGAGCGGGGAAGGAGCATGGGAGGAGCGTGGAAGGAGCATGGGAGGAGTGTGGGAGGAGCATGGGAGGAGCGTGGGAGGAGTATGGGAGGAGCGTGGGAGGGCAAGCGTGTGTGGAGGCAACGCATCCAACATCCAACCTTCCCCTCTCATCCACCTTCCCCCTTTCATCCAGCATCCACCCTTCCCAACTTTATCCAGCATCCACCCTTCCCACCTTCATCCCAACTTCTTGACCCATCGTTGCCCAACCATGCCCACCGTTGCCCACCCATGCGTACCGTTGCCCACCCATGCGTACCGTTGCCCGCCCATCCCACCCATGCTTACCGTCCCTCTCCTTGAAGACTTGCGCGAAGCACACGTCGCCCGCACGCCGCATGTGGTCCTGCGGATTGGGCACGGGAGCGGAGGCGGGAAGGGGGGGAAGCGGAAAAGGGAGGGGCGGCAGGGGCGGGGGAAGGGGAGGGAAGAGGCGAGGAGCGATGGAGGGGGTGTAGTGTAGAGAGAACGAGGGAAGACCTGTGCGAAGCACACGTCACCCGCACCCCGCATGTGGTCCTGCGGATAGAGCACCGAGGGGAGGGGGAAGGGGGAGGGGGGGCAGGGGCGGAGGGACGGGGAAAAAGAAGAGAGGAGCGATGGAGGGAGTGTAGCGAGAACGAGGGAAGAGAAACACAGGGTTGCAAGAAGCAGGAGAGGAAAGGAATCTGTTGGTGTCCAAAGGGAAAGGCGGGTGATGGGCAAAGGTAGCGAAACAGCGATGACGAAAACGGGGCCAGGGGAGAGAAGAGTAGACGGGAAGGGCGGGGGACACGGGAGAGAAGAGCAGCGCATAGGCATTCGGGGAGGGGAATGTTGATGTTACTTTTGAGAGTTTTCAAAAGTAGCAGCGACGAAGAAAGAGGGGCCAGGGGAGAGAAGAGTAGCACATGGGCATTCGGGGAGGGGAAGGGCGGGGGACACGGGAGAGAAGAGCAGACGGGAAGGGCGGGGGACACGGGAGAGAAGAGTAGCGCATGGGCATTCGGGGAGGGGAATGTTGATGTTACTTTCGAGAGTTTTCAAAAGAAACAGCGACGAAGAAAACGGGGCCAGGGGAGAGAAGAGTAGCGCACGGGCATTCGGGGAGGGGAAGGACGGGGGACACGGGAGAGAAGCACGATCGTATGCGAGGGCATGCAAGGGGACGCGAGGGCATGCGACGGGATACCCAGGGGATGCGAGGGGATGTAAGGGCGTGCGAGGGGTGGGGATGTGAGGGCATGTAAGGGCATGTGAGGGCATGTGAGTGCATGCGAGTGCATGTGAGTGCATGCGAGTGCATGTGAGTGCATGCGAGTGCATGTGAGTGCATGCGAGTGCATGCGAGTGCATGTGAGTGCATGCGAGGGCATGCGAGTGCATGCGAGGGCATGTGAGTGCATGTGAGTGCATGTGAGGGCATGCGAGAGCGTACCTTGAGATCTTGCCAGGAAGCGGAGGTGGGGAGATTCTTCACAATGACTGTGGCGGGCAGGGGTCACACAGTACGCACACGATACAGGCATGCGTTATAAGCACAATACGGGCATGCATTATAAGCACAACAAGTTACGACCAAGCACAGTGAACGTAACAAGCGATGGCGGAATAACGAACGCACAAGCCAGCCTATTCAGAGTGAACTCAAAGAGCCTAACTGCATTGACTAGCGAATCAGCCAGCGGTAGAGCCTGCAAGTCTGATAACAGAACTCCAAGCAGAGTCACACAACCAACCGACTCACCGCGGTACTCTGTTCGCCGCGACGGTCCGCGCTGAAAGTCCCCCCCCCCCGCCCCCCCCCCGAACCCGCCCCCTGCTCCGCGGCCGCCGTGCGCGAGCTCCACGCGCAGGCGGTTGCCGTCAAAGTCGTACCCGTCGCGCCCGCGGATGGCGTCCTCCGCGTCCCGGGGGTCCGCGAACTGGCGAAGTGTGGCGAGGTGTGGCGAAAGGGAGATGCGGGGCAGGGTTACACGGGAAGAGACGGGAGGGGTGGGTAAGGGCAGCAGAGGGGGGAAGGGGGAAGGGAAGGAAGGGGGCGTGACAGGGGAAGAGGAAGCGAGCTCCACGCGCAGGCGGTTCCCGTCGAAGTCGTACCCGTCCCGCTCGCGGATAGCGTCCTCCGCGTCCCGGGGGTCCGCGAACTGGCGAAAGGGAGATGGTAAGAGGGAGGAACAGGATTACACGGTGCGAGAAAGAAAGGGAGGGATGGGGAAGTGTAGGGGGAGAGGAGCAGGGGAAAGAGGTAAAAGCGTGAGGGCGGGAAAAAGAAAGGACGGGGGGGAAGGGGGAGAAAGAGGGCGAAGGGCTGGGGGAAGAGCGGGTTGACTTTATACACACGCAAACAGTTTTTCCCACGCGCCCACTCCCGCCCCCACACCCGCCCCCACCCCCGCCCCCACCACTCCCGCTTCCAATCCCTCTCCTGATCCCGCTCCCACCCACGATCCCGCTCACCTCCACGAACGCGAAGCCAGGGGGCCGGGGGGGAAGCTTGAGCTCAATATCGAGGATCTTGCCGTACTGCACAAGGTAACGAGAGGCAAACACACGATATGCAAAAGATTCAAACGACAACGATAAGGAACGAAACACAACGGAAACTTACTACGAAAATCCTCAGACGTGCGTTTAGAAAAGTGTACATCATGCAACCATGCAACCCTTTGCGAGCACATCGGCATATCCCCGTTATAAAAACATCCGACTACCCCCGAGAAGCCAGCACCTTGGCGAAAAGGTCCTCCACTTCGCTCTCGCGCGTGTCGCCGGGCAGGTTGCCCACATACACAGTGCGGTGCGACCGCCCGCTCATGCTGCTCGACATGCACGGTCGATTCGACGGTCGTCGTCGACACCACGGATTCTGGTCAGATCTGAGTCGGAGGGAAGTGAATGGGACGAGACACACAGGATTTCCGCATGTAAGCTTTTCAGGAATAAAACAGAATCGTTAGGGTTGCCCGGAACTGCTATGCGTATCATGGATCTCGTACAATCTTCCCTTCCCGCTCAAGCCACAGTCACCACCAGAATGTGATAAGAAACGGGAGAGGGGAAGAACGAAAGAAGAAGAACTTTCGATTGGCAATGCGAAACATCTCAGGTTGAGTCAGGCACCTCATATAGGACCCCTTACCTCCTCACAAGCTATTGCTACCTCAGACCCATTTACCCTTACGTCCGCACATGTATTTGCGACCTCGTATCTCTTTACTGTACCCTTAAATCCTCACAACTACTTGCAATCTCAAATCATTAAAAAAACCATTACACTACATACTCAGAACCTCAAGATCTATTACAACCTCGTATCTTAATACGAGACACACGCTATGACGGCCCGCTGCAGGATACAGACGCGCACTGCTTTTCCCCTTGCGCCTACCGCTGTATGACTAACCCAACTTCCGACATTGATCCAGACGACAACACGATGACAGACAACACACGAGCTATTTCCGCTTGCTTCGCTTTCCAAGCTCTGATCGACGTACGCTAGACACACGGGTCGCCTTCCCTTTCGTACGCTAGACAATCGAACTGCATTAAATAGTGCATATTTCGCCCTAACGAAAGTAAGATGCTCGTCCGGGGAGGGGAGTAGCAAGGGAGGGTTCAGACCGCATGGAAGACGGCTCGAAGCCCCCCTCCTTATCGCTCCCTCCTTAAGCTCCCTCCATATAAGATCCAATGCTCCCTCCAAATAAGGTCCAATGCTCCCTCCATATATGATCCAAGCTCCCTCCATATAAGGTCCAATGCTCTCTTCCGATATAAGGTCCAATGCTCCCGCCATTTAAGGTCCAAGGCTCCCATCCGATACAGTCCAAAAGCTCCCTCCACTAGCCGTCCATCTGTACCAGATCGACGGCGTGCGTGACATATTGCAAACACAAACCGTCCTTCCCGCCTCCCCCATTACTAGATAGAGCAAGAACAGAAAATTGACTAGCATGCATCAGAAAGCGCAAGGGACGAAGAGTGAACATGACGAACAGCAGTACCCTTGACGTAAGAAAGCGGGACAACGAACAGACAGCAACATGTCATGATATCAACCTATCGACGCTTTCCTCGGGGAATCTAATCAGCAATTAAAAGACGAAAAATCACCTCGTAGAACTTCAAAGTTGCGAATCCTTTCCTTGGCACGTGAGTTCGGGATGCCCAGACGCACCGGAACCTTGCTCTGAAATCTGAAATCGTGACTCACGGACGCTCTTTGAAAGGTTGGGGGAGGTGAGACAGCAAACGAAGAGAACTAGGGTTTGGGCAGCAGGGGGAGTTGCTCTGGCGTAGAGGGAGTGAATGGTTGAGGTTGGGAGCTATTCGCACAGCACAACATAGTTTTTCGCCTCGCTCCAGTTTCGCCTTCGCTTCATTTCGTACCAACAAAGATATATTTTGCATTGTTTGCATTTGCGGGCTGGTTGCACTGTCGAGCCAAGGCAGGCGAACACATTTCGCATGTGCGAAAACAAAAACGACAAGCTGCTGGTTGGCGAATGTAAAAAACCTGTAACCAACCCACGCAGAAGAATTTCTAGGGGGATGGTGGAATCGCTCATATGGGCAGGTCCAGCGCGTTCGTTGTTCATCCGTCGTGGCGCAAGACGATTCCAAACGGTGCACTGCGGTTATCATGCTTCACCGTTTTGCACCGTGACGCAACAAGAGTAACCGCACAGAACGAACCAATTACAAACGCGCTGGACCCGCTCTAATGGAAAGGTACCCTCTCTGCTCAATATAAGCACAGTCGTCTCGCCAAACATAGTACGAGACACTCAATCTTTTGTGCTGAGCACAACGCAGCTTCGGCATCTGCGAAAGTCTCTGTCACGTGCGCGCGAAGAGCGCCAGCATATCCATGTGGTCCGCTCGTCCTTCTGAGAGACTTGCGAGCTTCACGCGATCTTCTTGTACGTGCGCAGCCTTTAGTCTAGACTATGGAGACTATTTAGAGTCTTAGTAACAAGCATATGAAGCTCTGGCCCCAACTGTGTGAAGGAATTTGCTGGAAAACGCCAAGGCAGAAAGTTCAAGTAATTTCATTGAAGAAGGCATGCAAAAACAGAAAACACAAAGCAAGTTATAAGCAAAAGGATTTCTGATTTCGCCCTCGCGCCACGCCTAATTTCGAGCTGAGTTGTACTCGGCTCAATTTCCAAATCCAACCATGCACCGAACGCGCCTCGAGTTCGAATCAGACTTCCTTGGACGCGCCTTTGACCCGGCGTGACTTCTCTTCACGTCGCTTGGAATCTCGACATTTCAGCTGTTTTCTTCTCCATTTCTGCACACTTCCCCTCCTTCTCTTCGATTCCCACTGCAGGTCGCGCCGCTACCGTGTTTCTCCTTCCACCGTCCCAACATAGGTAGCTCCTCTTCTTCTTAGGTCCTCGCTTTCCCTTAGTCACAGCTCGTCAAACCGAATTCTTCTTAGGTCGATGTAGATCGCGTTAGGTCGTTCTAGGTCATGGTTAGCCAACCACCTTCAACAGATCTCTCCTCGCCCATCTCACATACTGCTCACCTCGCCAAGTCACTTTCGGCGGGCCCGCCCTCTCACGTTCGGGGTTCCGCCATTTATCCTCCGGGGAGTCGCCAGTTTCACTATCGCCGCGCCCATCTCCTTTCTCACGGCGAATGTTTGCCCTCAGTTTCTCCCCGGATCACCCTTCCCAGACCGTCCACTCAGTTCCCCCCCCCCCTGCTTCCCCTCATCCCCCCCCCCTGGTTCCCCTCATTTTCCCCTCATTTCCCCCCTGATTCCCCTTGTTTTCCCCTCATTTCCCCCTTGCTTCCCCTCACTTCCCCCCACCTTCCCCTCGTTTCCCCCCCTGCTTCCGCTCATTTCTCCCCCTACTTCCAATCGTTTCTGCTCTGCTTCCCCTCAATTTCCCCCTCCTTCCCCTCGTTCCCATCCCTGCTTCCCCTCATTTCCCCCCTGCTTCCCCTCATTTCCCCCCTGCTTCCCCTCTTTTCTCCTCCTGCGTCCCCTCATCCTCCCCCCCCCCCCCCCCTCTCCTTCCCCTCATTTCCTCCCGTGCTCCCTATTTCTCCCTCTGCTGCCCCTCATTCCCCCCCCTGCTTCCCTTCATTTCTCCGCCTCCTTCCCCTCATTTCTCCACCTGCTTCCCTGCCTTTCCCCCCCTGCTTCTGCTCATTTCCTCCCCTCCTTCCCCTTATTTCCGCCCCTGCTTCCGCTCATTTCCTCCCCAGCAACCCCTCGCTTCCCGCCCTACTTACCCTCATATCCCACACCCCCCTTTCCCCTCATTTCTCCTCCTCCTTCCCCTTTCTTCATCCCCTGCTTCCCCTCATTTCCCCCCCTCCTTCCCCTCGTTTCCTGCCCTGCTTCCCCTCATTTCCGCCCCCTGGTTCCCCTCATTTCCCCCGTGCTCCCTATATCTCCCTCTGCTTCCTCTCGTTTTCCCCCTTTCTTCCCCTCATTTGCCCCCTTGCTTCCCCTCGTTTCCCCTTCCCCTCATTTCCCCCCTCCTCCTCATTTTCCATCAGTTTCCACTTCACCTGTCCTGGATTTTACCAACTTTTCTCTCCCAGCGCTGCATCTCCTCCCTTGTCTCTCTCCCCTCTTCCCTGTCTCCTCTCCCTCTCCCCTCTCTTCCTATCTGCTCCTTTGTCTCTCTCCCCTCTTCCTGTCTCCACTCCCTCTCCCCTCTCTTCCTATCTGCTCCTTTGTCTCTCTCCCCTCTTCCTGTCTCCTCTCCCTCTCCCCTCTCTTCCTATCTGCTCCTTTGTCTCTCTCCCCTCTTCCCTGTCTCCTCTCCCTCTCCCCTCTCTTCCTATCTGCTCCTTTGTCTCTCTCCCCTCTTCCTGTCTCCTCTCCCTCTCCCCTCTCTTCCTATCTTCTCCTTTGTCTCTCTCCCCTCTTCCTGTCTCCTCTCCCTCTCCCTTCTCTTCCTATCTGCTCCTTTGTCTCTCTCCCCTCTTCCTGTCTCCTCTCCCTCTCCCTTCTCTTCCTATCTGCTCCTTTGTCTCTCTCCCCTCTTCCTGTCTCCTCTCCCTCTCCCCTCTCTTCCTATCTGCTCCTTTGTCTCTCTCCCCTCTTCCCTGTCTCCTCTCCTTCTCCCCTCTCTTCCTATCTGCTCCTTTGTCTCTCTCCCCTCTTCCCTGTCTCCTCTCCCTCTCCCCTCTCTTCCTATCTCATCCCCCTTCCCTCTCCCCTCTCTTCGAATGGTCTTTGTATCAAATCCAAACAATACACGATGCAGGTAGGTGGAAATGCAATCAAATAGCACTAAACCAACTGACCGACTAACCTACTAACCTCTTTGCCTGCTTTCTGTCCACTTTCGTCTAAGGGAGCTCCAGCGCCGCCTCCAGGATGCCAAGGCAGTCTCTTCCCTCTCTCCCCACTCTCTCTCCCGCTATTTCCTATCCCCTCCCTTCCCTCTCCCCCCTCTTTCCTATCTTCCCCTTCCCTATATGCTTCCTTCCCATTTCCCCTGTTCTATCCCCGCTTCACTTCATGGCATGCCATCACAGCCTATGCTTTAATCACAATCTTTTTCATGAAGCAGTGCCTATGGTTCCTTCATGTCACGCCATCTTGCCATTCTCTTCCAGCCCCCTCCCAACTTCGTCACACTCTCTCCCTCTGGTTATTTGAGTGACTGCGCAGACATGATTGTTGAAAGGAAAACGTGGGGCGGCAGTCTGGGCTTCCAGTGGCGGTGGGGGGCGGCTGTAACACGTGTGGTGGTGGGGGGCGGCTGTAACACGTGTGGCAGTGGGGGGTGGCTGTAACACGTGTGGTGGTGGGGGGCGGCTGTAACACGTGTGGCAGTGGGGGGCGGCACGAGCCGCTACGAGCTGCTAAGAGCTGCTAAGAGCCGCTAAGAGCTGCTAAGAGCCGCTAAGAGCCGCTAAGAGCTGCTGCCCCATGGTGCGCATGCGCACCGTGCCATGTGCCGCTGCCATGCTTACTCCTTACTGCTCCTGGTCTGCTGGCTGCCTATGATGGATTTGACGCGCTCAGCGTTTTGACTCTGAGTCAAAACGCTAGCATTTTGACGCTATTGACGCCCCTGTCCGAGGGGTACCCCCCAGTTTGACGCGCTGGTGGCGTGCAGGCAAAAAACAATCCCGGACAGGGGTAAAAAAACTGGGAACAGGGGGGTTAGTAAGAGAGGTTCGGAGGGGGGGCCCGGGGGGGTGGGGCAGGAGTTGTAGGACACGTTCGCGCAAATGCCAAGAGCGAACCTTTGACATTTGTTTTCCTCAAAACGCCGCGTTGACGCTAGAAAATTTCTGAATTTGGTGTCACATCCATCATAGCTGGCTGCTGCACCGCTTCCTCTCCACCGCGTTCCCCGCCGACCACCGCGCACGCCACAGAGACGTGCTGCCGGAGGAGAGGGCCATGGGGCACCTTGTCGCCCTCCTTGCCCTCCCCTCTCGAGGCAGAGCTGGTTGTGGAGGGGGATGATGGTGCAGATGGGCACCTTGTCGCCCTCCTTGCCCTCCCCTCTCGAGGCAGAGCTGGTTGTGGAGGGGGATGATGGTGCAGATGGGCACCTTGTCGCCCTCCACGCCCCCCGCGCCATCTCTGCGTGAGGCAGAGGCAGAGACAGAGACAGGGGCAGAGTTTGGGAGCAGAGCTGGAGCAGCAGCTGTTAGTGGCTCTTTCTTGCCATGCGCAGAGCCAGAGGGACGTGCTGGAGGAAGAGACGAGAGGAGAGGGCCATGGGCACTTTCTTGCCCTCCGCGCCCCCCCCCGCGATCCCTGCGCCCTCCTCCCCCCCTTGCACCCTCCCTGCTTGAGGCAGAGCTGGTAGTGCGGGGGAATGGTGTGGAGCTGGTAGTGCGGGGGAATGAGAGGGGTGGGATGGTGGGTGCTGGGCGCACGGGAAGCAGTGAGCGTGCGAGACAAGGGAGGGAAGGAAGGGAGGGAGGACGAGGAACAGGGGTAATCGGAAAGGAGGGAGGAGGTGACGGAGGAGAAAGGAGAGCGAGCAGGGAGAGGAGAGGGAGGCTGTTAGCAGCTGGTTCCGGTGCGAGAGGAAGGTGTGAGAGAGGAGGGCATGAGAGAAGCGGGTGTGAGAGAGTGGATAAGAGTGAGGGGAGCAGGGGGCGATGAGAGAACAGGAAGAGGAGAGGAGGGGAGGAAACGGGGGGGGGGGGGGGTGAGTGGACAACCAGTCTCTTCATCCACATCAGCGCGGGGTGCGACGGGTGCGGGGTGAGTTGACTCGCGTTGACTTGCAATGAGTTTCAGTGCAGCGAGCTGCAGGCGAGGAGTAACACAAAGAGAGAGGCAACGAGGCAAGCCAGCTTCATCCACATCAGTGTGGGGTGAGACGGGTGCAGGATGAGTTGACTTGGGTTGACTTGAGTTGACTTGAATTGCATTGAATTGCATTGACTTGAGTTGACTTGAATTGCATTGACTTGAGCTGACTGAAGTTGACTGGAGTTGACTGGAGCAGGGTTTAGGGACAGCTCAAGAACGGTTGGAGTGCTTGGTCACGGCTGCCCCTCCCCCCCCTCCCACTCGTGCATCACCCCTATGGTATCCCCTCGTCATTCCACCATTTGGGATGGATGGGCAATGGAAAGGCTAGATTAGCCAGTTGCCAAAGCATGAAGGCTTGAGGTTTGTTCCGTCTTCTAGAGTCTGTCCCCCAAGTGGCCTGTTCTGCAGCCTATGCTCTCCCGTCGCGAGGTTGCTCCCCTGACTTGATTTTTTGGGCAGCCAGACGTTTGCCGCCCAAAATTTAGCTGCCAAAATGTGGTCACGCTTGAACATCATCATATCGCCGATGCCGGGGATCGAACCCGGATCTTCCGCGTGACAGGCGGAGATACTGACCGCTTTATTTACAATGTATATGTGTACAAAAGATACAGACGGATTTGAGCATCAGGAGGCTACCTAACTAGCAATGGCCCAACTGCAATCCTAGGTTGAGACCCCCAATGAGGTCTCAAGAACCAACACCAAGGTACGCAAAGTCAGCCAAGGAGGGTGGGGTGGGATCTGGTGGGGCGGAGGGTGTGTCAACACTGTAACGAATTTGTGTCCGACGGCAGATGGTTCGAGCCTGCTCACGCTGGTGCACCAAGGAAATCCTCTTGAAGTAGCTAGTCTCGAAGAGCTCTGGAATCAGGTCAGATGCACCACCCATGTCACGAAGTCGAGTCGCCCCTCGTCTGCTGCAGTCTTTGATGAAGCTGAGAAATGCCGTGCTGAAGCAACCGAAGGTTTCAAGAACGAGAGGAAGAAGCTTCACGTCTGGGCGGTTTTGTAAGGAAGATGCATACAGGGTCCGCTTCTCAGTTTCGCGAGCAGATGCAGCTGAGCCGATTACTGATGCAGTCTTGGAGTTTGGGGGACCATGCTGCGGGTCTGCAACTGAACAGCAAGCAAACACCTGCAGCCGCGATGCACGGCTGATTCCGCTGCGATTGAACCCGCCTGTGCGACCCAGGACCCATAACGGTGCTTTTCTGCCGTCAACTGTGTGATTTCGACGTATAATCCGAAAACCCGACCTTGACGGAGCCCTTCCGGCGCCATTTTCTCAAGGATCAGAAACGACTGTGCGGGAAAAAGTCGGATTGGCTGACTCCAAAAAGGCGGGTGTCGTGAATCCCATGCCGTGCTGAAATTCAACCACCCTTGCCTGTCCTCTTTGCATCATCCCAGGTCGGTGGGATGTTCAAGTTGTCCTCACTCATTGTCACCTCACAACTCCCTGCTCGCGCAACTGTTGCTGCTGCCTCCTCCCTGCTCCCTCCTCCTTGCTCCCTCCTTGCTGCTCCCTCCTCCCTGCTCCCTCCTCCTTGCTCCCTCCTTGCTGCTCCCTCCTCCCTGCTCCCTCCTCCCTGCTCCCTCCTCCTTGCTCCCTCCTTGCTGCTCCCTCCTCCCTGCTCCCTCCACCTTGCTCCCTCCTTGCTGCTCCCTCCTCCGTCCTCCCTCCTCCCTGCTCCCTCCTCCCTGCTCCCTGCTCCGGTTCAGTGTGGTTCAGAAGACCACGGCGACGCAGGATCACGGCACAGTGCGGTACAGAGTGGTGGTGCCGTACAGCAGAGTCATCGCGCCATGAAACCCGTCTTTGGGAGCAGCCGCGCAGTACAGAGGCCTCACCTTGCACGTGGAAGCATACCATACCATGCCATACCATGCCATACCATGCCATACCATGCCATACCATGCCATACCATGCCATACCATGCCATACCATGCCATACCATGCCATACCATGCCATACCATGCCATACCATGCCATACCATGCCATACCATGCCATACCATGCCATACCATGCCATACCATGCCATACCATGCCATACCATGCCATACCATGCCATACCATGCCATACCATGCCATACCATGCCATACCATGCCATACCATGCCATACCATGCCATACCATGCCATACCATGCCATACCATGCCATACCATGCCATGCCATGCCATGCCATGCCATACCATGCCATACCATGCCATACCATGCCATACCATGCCATACCATGCCATACCATGCCATACCATGCCATACCATGCCATACCATGCCATACCATGCCATACCATGCCATACCATGCCATACCATGCCATACCATGCCATACCATGCCATACCATGCCATACCATGCCATACCATGCCATACCATGCCATGCCATGCCATGCCATGCCATGCCATACCATGCCATACCATGCCATACCATGCCATGCCATGCCATGCCATGCCATGCCATGCCATGCCATGCCATGCCATGCCATGCCATGCCATGTTATAGGAGCACACGTGTCCCTGGTCCAGACCACACCACACTTATGCGCCACTCCCTCTTCCCTCTCCTCTCCCTCGTCCCTCTCCTCTTCCCCCTCCTTTTCTCCGACTCCCCCGCCCCCATTCAGCGTGCGGCCACGTGTTGTGCTTCTGGTGCGTGTATCGCGCCATGACGCCCTACAGCGACTGCCCTGCTCTGCTGCGAAGTGTAACAACTTCCCGCTGCCCCACGTGCCCCATGTGCCCCATGTGCCCCATGTGCCCCATGTGCCCCATGTGCCCCATGTGCCCCATGTGCCCCATGTGCCCCATGTGCCCCATGTGCCCCACGTGCCCCATGTGCCCCACGTGCCCCACGTGCCCCACGTGCCCCACGTGCCCCATGTGCCCCATGTGCCCCATGTGCCCCATGTGCCCCATGTGCCCCATGCCCCATGTGCCCCATGCCCCATGTGCCCCACGTGCCCCATGTGCCCCACGTGCCCCATGTGCCCCACGTGCCCCATGTGCCCCATGTGCCCCATGTGCCCCATGTGCCCCATGTGCCCCATGTGCCCCATGTGCCCCATGTGCCCCATGTGCCCCATGCCCCATGTGCCCCATGTGCCCCATGTGCCCCATGCCCCATGTGCCCCATGTGCCCCATGTGCCCCATGTGCCCCATGTGCCCCATGTGCCCCATGCCCCATGTGCCCCATGCCCCATGTGCCCCATGCCCCATGTGCTACACTGCCGCCGTGCCTTCACGCACTTTGCTGGCATGTCACCGGGGTGTGCTGTGCTGGCTGCTGCACCGCTTCCTCTCCGCCGCCTTCCCTGCCGACTACTGCGGAGACTGAGGCAGAGGCAGTGGCCCAAGAGCAGGGCGAGGGTGGAGGTGTAGGGGAGGCGAGAGGGGAGGGGCTATCGGGTGTGCTTGTTGCCTGCTGCACCGCTTCCTCTCCGCCACCTTTCTCGCGGACTACCGCGCACTTCCCTTCCCCACGCCCTTCTCACCCCCTGCATTCCCCACGACCTTCCCCGGGGTGTGCTGTGCTGCGTGCTGCACTGCGTCCTCTCCGCCATAAGGACCGTCCTTGCCTCAGGGACGTGCTGCAGGAGGAGAGGGCCCGTCTCTTGCAGGGCGCCGTCTCGTCCTTCTTGCCCGCCCTGCATGATGCTGACACGGCGCCATGGGGGAGTGGTGGTGATGCATCGCGCCAGAGAGGGATGTGGTGCAGGAGGAGAGGGCTATAGGGGCGACTTTTCGCCCTCCGCGCCTTCCATGATTGAAGCTGACTCGGCGCCAGGGGGAGTGGTGGTGGTGCAGCGCGCTTTAGAGGGACGTGCCTTCTCGCCCTTCTTGACGCTGACTCGGCGCCAGGGGGAAATGGTGGTGGTGCAGCGCGCCAGAGAGGGGCGTGCTTGACGAGGAGAGGAGAGGAGAGGAGAGGGCCATGGGGGCGCCGTCTCGTCCTTCTTGCCCTCTCTGCTTGATGCTGTCTCGGCCCCGGGGAAAAGTGGTGGTGGTGCAGCTCATGGCCACGGCGCCAGGCCAGGGAAGAGACGTGCTGCAGGAGGAGAGGGCCACGGGGCACCATCTTGACCTTCGTGCCCTCTGCGGCAGAGGGTCCGGGGCAGCAGAGTGGGGCGGCAGAGTGGGGCGGCAGAGTGGGGCGACAGAGTAGGGCGGCAGAGTGGGGCGGCAGAGGGCAGTGGGGCGGCAGAGGGCAGTGGGGCGGCAGAGGGCAGTGGGGCGGCAGTTTGGGCTTCCAGTGGCGGTGGGGGACGGCTGTATCACGTGTGGTGGTGTATATGAGAGCTGGGGCATGGCGAGGGGGGAGAGGAAGGGGAAGGGCGAGGAGAATTGGGAGAAAGGGGGTGGAGGAGCGGGGGTGGAAGGAGGGAAGGGGCGATTGGAGAAAAGAGAAAAGGCGAGTGGTGTAGGGTACAGGAGGGCGGTTGAGTGCAGAGGAAGTGTTTCTGTGAACTGACAGCAGCAGTTCTTATGTGGGTGGGTGGGATGGGTGGGATGGGTGAAAAGTGGTGGAATGGACAAGAGTCTTGAGAGGGGTGAGAGTGGTGAGAAAGGTGAGAGGGGTGGGTGGGATGGGTGGGATAGGTGAAAGTGGTGGAATGGACAAGAGTCTTGAGAGGGGTGAGAGTGGTGAGAAAGGTGAGAGGGGTGGGTGGGATGGGTGGGATGGGTGGGATGGTTGAAAGTGGTGGAATGGATGAGAGTGGTGAGAGGGGCGAGAGGGGTGAGAGTGGTGAGAAAGGTGATAGGGGCGGGTGGGATGGTGGTGGAATGGATGAGAGTGGTGAGACGGGTGAGAAGGTTAATAGGGTTGAGAGGGGTGGGGTTGGTGGGTGTGAGACAAGGAGGGGAGTTGAGGGTCGAAGAGGAGCAGGAGAAGTGGAAGAGAGGGAAAGGAGAGTGAATGGGGAGGGACGAGGGAGTCAATGTTGCTATTGTGTTAAAAATAGAGTCCAAGTCTCATCGCTTGCGCAAGAAGTTGAGGGGCAAAGAGGAGCAGGAGAAGTGGGAGAGTGACGGTGGGGGAAGGAGAGTGAGTGGGGAGAGACGAGGGAGTCAATGTAACTATTTCAAGAACTCTGGAGTCCAAGTCTCATCAGGTCCGATCAAGCACACTTGCTGAGAACACTCTATAGCGGGAATAGGCCCAAGCATTGCACGGCTCAAGGGCCAACATGCGTGAAGAGGAGGAGCAAAAGTGGCTGATGGGTGGCCGGTAAAGGCTCTCCTTAGACCGGGCAGTAGTGGCAGCAGCCCAGCCAGTGTCCTTCTGGGCGAGGGGTCTTACTCGGAGATCAGGTCGGTGATGGTGGCGTCGCAGAGCCACACCGCTTCTCAGTAGCAGATTCCGGGTGCCGGATGGAAGGATCAGCGAACTTGTTGACCACCGCGGTAAACCGGTTTGTCTCCTTGGGGACGATGAACCCCGCCGAAATTGGTTTTGTCACAGTTTTGGGGGATCGGGTACGGGGGAGGCCGAGCCGGAAGGTCACCGTGGTGGAGAAGAGAGCGGGTTGGGAAGTGATGGCGAGAAAGAAAGCAAGAGCAATGGCGAGGTGAGCTGAAGGGATGGGTAGCATGTCCTCCAGAGTGGCGAGGCGGCGTTGCAAGGGGGCCAGGCCCGATGTGTTAAGGTGGAAGTGTGGGAAGAGGAGGGCTAGCTCCAGGTTTAGGTGGCCTAGAAGGTCGCCAAGGAGGGATGCAGCAGCCAGGGCAGAGGAGAGGCAGCAGGATGCGCTTTCGGCAGCCATATCAGTGATGTCGAGGGCCCCACGGGCGGTGGGAAGGGAGGCCTGCGAGCCTTCTCTGCCCTCTTTCTGGGGGTGTGAATGTAGGAGCCAGGACGGAGGAGAGGTAGCAGGATGTGCTTTCGGCAGCCGGGTCCAAGGGTGGTGGGAAGGGAGGCTTGGTTCAGATGCGGGCCTTCTCCGCCCTCCCTCTGGGGGGGTGAAGGTGGCAGGCGTCAAGCGCCGTTTGGAGGAAACGCTCCCCCCAGGCGAACGACTTTTGAGACATCTCAAAAGTCCTCTGCCCTCCCTCTGAGGGCGTGAAGGTGGTGTCAAGCGCCGTTTGGAGGAAACACTCTTTAAAAAAACCCTCTTTGGAGGAAACGTGACGCACCGGCGTCACGTTTACGCGCTTCCAAATGAAGGCGGAGCAGGCTGCTTCGGGGCCCACGGGGCTACCCAGTATGCAGAGGCCTTGTGCACGGAGCGTGATCCCCTTGATCCACGGATGGTTGGTAGGCAACCTTTTTTGAGGCACCTCAGAAATCGTCGGGGCCCACAGAGCTACCCAGTATGCAGAAAGACGGCCAGGTAGAGCAGTGCTGACGAAGGCGTGAAGATGGGTGAAGTCACGAATGTGCCCAAATCCTTTTGCACCACCACAAATGCGGTGGTTCCTGACAGGCCTGCCCCTAATCCTTTTGCACGCTGGGCAATGATTCAGAGGAGGTCGTTCAGGCAAATGGTTGGTGGTGCGACCAGCTGCATGCTCTGCCACCCAGCCTGGGAGGGGCAGGGAGGAGGACGGGAGGCGAGAGGAAAGGGCGAGCAATGTCTCCTCTGAGTTGGGGCTGCCTGGGGTGGCCTCCAGTGGATGTAGGCCACCCTGGTTAGCCCCAGCTCAGAAGAGACACGTGTTTCACGTGAGGACACCACTTAGCGTAAGTTTGACCACGTGTTCAGATCTGGCCAGGCGTTGTCAGGTGCTCAGATCTGGCCAGGTGTTGTCAGGTGCTCAGATCTGGCCAGGTGTTGTCAGGTGTTCAGATCTGGCCAGGTGTTGTCAGGTGCTCAGATCTGGCCAGGTGTTGTCAGGTGCTCATATCTGGCCAGGTGTTGTCAGGTGCTCAGATCTGGCCAGGTGTTGTCAGGTGCTCAGATCTGGCCAGGTGTTGTCAGGTGCTCAGATCTGGCCAGGTGTTGTCAGGTGCTCAGATCTGGCCAGGTGTCGTGAAGTGCGTGGCGTGGTGGAGGTGGAGAGCTGGCAGCATCTGCTGCGGCGGTGTAGGGGGAGGCCTGGTCGGCCGCTCGAAACTGGACGATACGTATTGAGCACCACCCACGTCCCTTAGGCATGTGTCCAGCTGTATCCTCCGTTGCGCAGCCCCTCTGTGCAACCCCCCTCTGCACTCTTTCACTACACTCCAAGCCCTTGTTCCCCCCTTCTCCTCCGCTTACCCGGTTTTCTTCCTAGCTTCTCTCTTTCCCCTCCTGGTATCGTCTCTCTTATCCCGCTTTTCCCACCCCCCCACTGCACCCCCCACCAGGCTTTCCCCATAGTGGGGGTGCGCTACAGATGCCTTGACTGCCCGGAGCGAGTGGGCTTTGACCTCTGTGCCGCCTGCTACAGCTGCCCGCCGCCTGTGGTGGGTCGCTTCAATCAACCGGCGCCATGTCAGCATGCACCGCGTGGTGGAGGTGCGGCAGCCGGACAGCATTCTTCACCACATCTTTCAATCGCGTGGTGAGTCTCGAACAATTACCGTTAGGTGGCTTTCAATGGGATCTCAATTGAATCCCATGAGATGCCTTTGAGACGTCTCAAAAAGAGATGCGTGTGGTTGGAACCTCCTGTTAAGGCGCCTTTAAGGTCCCATGAGGTGGCACTGGACATACCCTTGCGCATTGGAGCTCACACCGTGTAGTGGCTCGCACCGTGTAGTGGCTCGCACCGTGTAGTGGCTCGCACCGTGTAGTGGCTCACACCACGTAGTGGCTCACACCGTGTAGTGGCTCACACCGTGTAGTGGCTCACACCGTGTAGTGGCTCGCACCGTGTAGTGGCTCACACCGTGTAGTGGCTCGCACCGTGTAGTGGCTCCCACCGTGTAGTGGCTCGCACCGTGTAGTGGCTCACACCGTGTAGTGGCTCGCTCCGTGTAGTGGCTCACACCGTGTAGTGGCTCACACCGTGTAGTGGCTCGCACCGTGTAGTGGCTCACACCACGTAGTGGCTCACACCGTGTAGTGGCTCGCACCGTGTAGTGGCTCACACCACGTAGTGGCTCACACCGTGTAGTGGCTCACACCGTGTAGTGGCTCGCACCGTGTAGTGGCTCACACCACATAGTGGCTCACACCGTGTAGTGGCTCGCACCGTGTAGTGGCTCGCACCGTGTAGTGGCTCACACCGTGTAGTGGCTCGCACCGTGTAGTGGCTCGCACCGTGTAGTGGCTCGCACCGTGTAGTGGCTCGCACCGTGTAGTGGCTCGCACCGTGTAGTGGCTCACACCACGTAGTGGCTCACACCACGTAGTGGCTCGCACCGTGTAGTGGCTCGCACCGTGTAGTGGCTCGCACCGTGTAGTGGCTCACACCGTGTAGTGGCTCGCACCGTGTAGTGGCTCACACCGTGTAGTGGCTCGCACCGTGTAGTGGCTCACACCGTGTAGTGGCTCGCACCGTGTAGTGGCTCGCACCGTGTAGTGGCTCGCACCGTGTAGTGGCTCACACCACGTAGTGGCTCACACCGTGTAGTGGCTCGCACCGTGTAGTGGCTCACACCGTGTAGTGGCTCGCACCGTGTAGTGGCTCGCACCGTGTAGTGGCTCGCACCGTGTAGTGGCTCACACCACGTAGTGGCTCACACCGTGTAGTGGCTCGCACCGTGTAGTGGCTCACACCGTGTAGTGGCTCCCACCGTGTAGTGGCTCACACCACGTAGTGGCTCACACCGTGTAGTGGCTCGCACCGTGTAGTGGCTCACACCGTGTAGTGGCTTGCACCGTGTAGTGGCTCGCACTGTGTAGTGGCTCGCACCGTGTAGTGGCTCACACCACGTAGTGGCTCACACCGTGTAGTGGCTCGCACCGTGTAGTGGCTCACACCGTGTAGTGGCTCCCACCGTGTAGTGGCTCGCACCGTGTAGTGGCTCGCACCGTGTAGTGGCTCGCTCCGTGTAGTGGCTCACACCGTGTAGTGGCTCACACCGTGTAGTGGCTCGCACCGTGTAGTGGCTCACACCACGTAGTGGCTCACACCGTGTAGTGGCTCACACCGTGTAGTGGCTCGCACCGTGTAGTGGCTCACACCACGTAGTGGCGCACACCGTGTAGTGGCTCACACCGTGTAGTGGCTCGCACCGTGTAGTGGCTCACACCACATAGTGGCTCACACCGTGTAGTGGCTCGCACCGTGTAGTGGCTCGCACCGTGTAGTGGCTCACACCGTGTAGTGGCTCGCACCGTGTAGTGGCTCGCACCGTGTAGTGGCTCGCACCGTGTAGTGGCTCGCACCGTGTAGTGGCTCGCACCGTGTAGTGGCTCACACCACGTAGTGGCTCACACCACGTAGTGGCTCGCACCGTGTAGTGGCTCGCACCGTGTAGTGGCTCGCACCGTGTAGTGGCTCACACCGTGTAGTGGCTCGCACCGTGTAGTGGCTCACACCGTGTAGTGGCTCGCACCGTGTAGTGGCTCACACCGTGTAGTGGCTCGCACCGTGTAGTGGCTCGCACCGTGTAGTGGCTCGCACCGTGTAGTGGCTCACACCACGTAGTGGCTCACACCGTGTAGTGGCTCGCACCGTGTAGTGGCTCACACCGTGTAGTGGCTCCCACCGTGTAGTGGCTCGCACCGTGTAGTGGCTCGCACCGTGTAGTGGCTCGCACCGTGTAGTGGCTCGCACCGTGTAGTGGCTCGCACCGTGTAGTGGCTCGCACCGTGTAGTGGCTCACACCACGTAGTGGCTCACACCACGTAGTGGCTCGCACCGTGTAGTGGCTCGCACCGTGTAGTGGCTCACACCGTGTAGTGGCTCACACCGTGTAGTGGCTCGCACCGTGTAGTGGCTCCCACCGTGTAGTGGCTCGCACCGTGTAGTGGCTCCCACCGTGTAGTGGCTCGCACCGTGTAGTGGCTCGCACCGTGTAGTGGCTCGCACCGTGTAGTGGCTCACACCGTGTAGTGGCTCACACCGTGTAGTGGCTCGCACCGTGTAGTGGCTCGCACCGTGTGGCTCGCACCGTGTAGTGGCTCGCACCGTGTAGTGGCTCACACCGTGTAGTGGCTCACACCGTGTAGTGGCTCGCACTGTGTAGTGGCTCACACCACGTAGTGGCTCGCACCGTGTAGTGGCTCACACCACGTAGTGGCTCACACCACGTAGTGGCTCACACCGTGTAGTGGCTCGCACCGTGTAGTGGCTCCCACCGTGTAGTGGCTCCCACCGTGTAGTGGCTCGCACCGTGTAGTGGCTCGCACCGTGTAGTGGCTCGCACCGTGTAGTGGCTCACACGTGTAGTGGCTCACACCGTGTAGTGGCTCGCACCGTGTAGTGGCTCACACCGTGTAGTGGCTCGCACCGTGTATCCATCTCATGTGTGTGCATCTCATGTGTGTCCATCTCATGTGTGTCCATCTCATGTGTGTCCATCTCATGTGTGTCCATCTCATGTGTGTCCATCTCATGTGTGTCCATCTCATGTGTGTCCATCTCATGTGTGTCCATCTCATGTGTGTCCATCTCATGTGTGTCCATCTCATGTGTGTCCATCTCATGTGCGTCCATCTCATGTGCGTCCATCTCATGTGCGTCCATCTCATGTGCGTCCATCTCATGTGCGTCCATCTTATGTGCATCCACAGCTCATGGCGCTGCTGATGGCAATGATAGGGGGTGAGGAGAGGACGACCATGTGATTCTAATTGACTATCGTTCGTTGCTAAAGTGACCTCGCACACTGCAGCTCTTCTACATAACCAGTGTGACCTGATCACAACAACAGCCGGCAGTTTTCCGAAAG